TGGGAGGGAAGAGAGGGTGGGTGATGGGTATTGAGGAGGGCACCTTTTGGGATGAGCACTGGGTGTTGTATGGAAACCAATTTGACAATAAATTTCATATATAAATAAAAAAAAAAAACAAAGGAAAGTGCTATTTCCTATAGATTGAATAAGGTCTTGCATATGAAAGGTTTATTATGTGTCTGGCATATAGTAAGTGCTCAATGAACAGTAAATATGAATAGTAAGAAAATTAAGAAGTTGTCCTCACCTTAACGTAGCCCATAGGAGGGGCAGGAGATAATTTCAGTTTGAAATCCTTTTATTTTTTAAGGTCCAGCTTTAAATTTGAATAGTTTATTTTTTATTTTATTTTATATAAAATTTATTTTATTTATATTATATATATATATATATAAACGATATATATAAAATTTATTTTATTTTATTTTATATAAAAATAGTTTATTTTTTAAGGTCCAGCTTTAAATTTGAATAGTTATATGCCAAATATATCTTTCTTAAATGTGGCTAATTCTCATACTTTATTCCTGTGTTCAAAACTTATTTCTAATTCCTAGAGCATTAAGTTTAAATTACTCTGCCTGTCAATCAAGTTATTCTCCAACTCTATACATTCCACTTCTCAACAGATCTTTTAACATAAGACAAGTTGAATGTTTCACTCTTCTAAGGAACCAATGCACATGGCTACCAATCCATCTCTTCATATTACCCTTCACATGAGTTATATATATTTATTAATTTTCTGCCTTCAGGTCCCAATTCCTCTGTGAATCCTTCCCTGACTATTAAGGCTCATTTCTGCTCTAAAGCTCTATGGTAGTTTTTACTAATACCCTAATTTATTTCTACATTTGAAACTCCTACAACACTTTTATCTATGCCCTGTCCTCGTTATTCAGCAGACTTTGTTAGATGTTTTACTTTCTTTCAAAATATTTTTGACTTGTCATATCAGAAATGATTTGAACAACCAGTTGCTATAAGTATGGAAAGGTGTGTTTAATTCATGATAAAACCACAACTTAGAGATTTTTAAATCATAGTAGTAACGAAGATGTTTGGATGGCAGAGTGATTTTTCTGTTGTACTTCAAGGTTACTTATTTATTTTTTGAAATTACTGGCTTTTAGAAATAGGTGGATTGATCAGTGGTAAGACGGTATTTCCAACTTCCAGTGGAATTGAATTAATGTCAACAAGGTATCCATAAAGACAAAAGAGCCATTGGACTGAGAGGCAGGAGACCTATGTTTGCTTCTAGGCCAACAGTGTCTCTAACTAGCTGTATGATCTTAGATAACTCAATGAATTTGTCTAAATGTTTCCTGAAAAGCACACCATTAGCTAAAGAGCTAAGAAAGCATGTTTCCTGAAATACACTGAATATAACAAGTTTGTAAAATAAGTTGTTAGATATCACATAAAGAATTTTGTAATGTCTCAATATCAATTTCTGTATATAATTGTACTATCCCAATATCTTACCAAAAATCATGAAATTGCAGGGACACCTGGGAGGCTCAGTTAAGCATCCAACTCTTTTTTTAAAGCATTTATTTATTTGAGAGAGACAGAGAGAGAGAGAGAGAGAGAGAGAATGAGTGCGGGAGTGGCAGAGAGAAAGGGAGACAGAGGATCCAAAGCAGGCTCTGTGCTAACAGCCGACAGCCGGAGGATGCAGGGCTGTGAGATCATGACCTGAGCCAAAGTCAGACACTTAACTGACTGAGCCACCCAGGTGCCCCGGCATCTAGCTCTTGATCTCTTGATTTCAGCTCAGGTCATGCTCTCATGGTTCATGAAATCAAGCCCTGTGCTTGGGATTCTCTCTCTCTCTCTCTCTCAAAATAAACTTTTTGAAAAATCATGAAACTACAAATAATCTTTCAGAAACATAACATTTTAAAGCACAAATAAAAAATATTTATGTAGATTGCCAAGAGTCAAATATTTGTTTAATAGGCATTAATTCAGTGACTAGT